TCATCGTTTTTGGTTGCTGTGTATGTGTGTGTGTGTTTGTGTTGCGTCCGGCGGCGTCAGGCGGCATGCCGTGGATGCTCAGACGAGGCGTAAGGCAGCCTTGACAAAATTTCGGTCGTCAGGTATGCTGCCGACGGGGAGATTGTCGATCGCCGTTCGGACGTGAGTTCTCCGGTCGAAGCTCCAGCTTTTTCAGAAAGTCGGCGTCGGCGAGCGGCTCCGGCCGTCCCAGCGACTTTGTTTGGAGTGGTCAAAAGTGAGCGTGGGTGTGTGTATGTGTGGCGTGGTCTGTGTGTGTCTGTGTGACAGAAAGCAAAAATGGAGCTTTGGTGTGTGTGTGTGGATAATGGCAAAGGGAGAGAGGTGAGGAGAGAGAGAGAGAGAGAGAGTGGTAGGTGAATTGAGACTTGTTAGTGGAGTGGGACCCACGTGTGGTTGGTTTGAATAGAGTGAATTGTGTGGAAATTTACTTTATTCTCCTTGCGTAACCTGTTGAGTTTTTTTTCTCCGTATGATTCACTTAATCGGACGGCCAATATGTATTCTCATTTCTCTCCTTGAGAACCATTCTCACCGGAGTGTATCCCTATATATATATATATATAAGGCGGATCAAATGAGGGCATCTCTTAAACTGCGGACATCTCTTAGCAACTAAACACAACTAACCTAGCAACTATAGAGAACTAACCTAACAACTACAAAAAACTAACCTAGCAACTACGGAGAACTAACCTAGCAACTACTAACTTAGCAACTACATAGAACTAACTTAGCAATTACAGAGAACAAACATAGCAACTACAGAGAACTAACCTAGCAACTACTAACCTAACAACTATAGAGAACTAACCTAGCAATTACAGAGAACTTACCTAAAAACTACAGAGAACTAACCTAGCAACTACAGAGAACTAACCTATCAACTATATAGAACCAACTTAGCAACTACATAGAACTAACCTAACAACTACTAACCTAGAAACTACAGAGAACTAACCTTGCAACTATAATCCTCGAGCTACGACGAAGAGATTCAGGCATTACAGATTGACCTTCAGATTGTTGCCCACCTCTCTAGTCATATTTGGATTGAGCTGGACGTTGCGGCTGTCGTCACCCTCCTGACTTCGGGTCAACAGGACTCGTGGCAGATTCAGCACCCGCTTATGCGCATTAGAGACCTACTTCGATCTGTCCATTACAGGATCACACGCATCTTTCGTGAGGAGAAGAGACCTGCTGACTACCTTGCCAGCCTTGGCGCCACCATACCAGACACGCACACGTTTCAGACCGACACTGCTCCACTCTACCTTCGCAAGCTAGTTCGTATGGATCAGCTTGGATATCCATCGTTTCGCTTCCTGTAGATTAGGTTTTTTGTTTGTTGTTTTTTAGATCATACATTTACTCCGGGCACCTGTTAGCCCGATGACAAACCTTGTATTATTTGCTTTTTCTGTTTTTCGTTTCTGTTTTGATTGTGAGACTATGATGATTGTAGCTGTTAGATATTTTCGGCTCGTTTTAGGGTCTTGATCTATGTACAGGTTGGGGATCCAGCACAATCCCCCGTCTTTCGGGGCGTTGTTTGTTTTTTTAAAAAAAACCTTGCAACTACAGAAAACTAACCTAGCAACTACAAACAACTAACCTAGCAACTATAGAGAACTAGCCTAGCAACTATATAGAACTAACCTAGTAACTACAGAGAACTAAACTAGTTGGAAGGTTAGTTGTCAACGGTCAATGCCGTAGTCAACGCTGGAAGTCAATGGTCAACACCGGAAGTCAACGGATTTCGCTAGAAGTCAACGCCGGAAGATAACGGTCAACGTCGGAGTCAACAGGTCAAAATAATATTTAAATAATTAAAATAATAAAAAGAAAAGAGTAAATCTTGGCCACACATGATGTATCAAATC